AATACACGAACAGTTGATATATGTTTCAGCAATCAACATTTTTCTATCCATTACTGCACTTCTTGGAAATACTCTGATCCTAGTTGCCCTTCAAAAGGAGTCTTCCCTTCATCCACCGTCCAAACTCTTGCTTCGTTGTCTGGCAACAACTGATCTCTGTGTTGGTCTTATTGCAGAACCTCTCGCTATTACCTATTGGATATCTGTGGTTAAACAAGAATGGAATCTTTGTCGTTATACTGTAGACTCCGGTTTCATAGCAAGCTATACTATGTCTTCAGTTTCTTTGTTGACAATGACTGCAATAAGCGTGGACAGACTTCTCGCCCTGTCGTTGGGGCTAAGATACAGACAAGTTGTAACTTTGACGCGAATATATGTGATTGTAGTTACCTTTTGGGTTATGTCCATTGTCGGTGCGACGTCTTTTCTTGGAAATCACCTTATAACATTTTGGTATGGCTATACATTTATAACATTATGTGTAGTAAGTTCAATCATCTCGTACGCAAAGATTTTCTTCACACTACGTCGTCATCAAACTCAAGTACAAGATCATTTTCAACAAGAACAACCGAGCCAAACAATTCCACTGAACATAGCGCGATACAGAAAGGCAGTGAACAGTGCACTGTGGGTGCAGTTGGCATTAGTTGTGTGTTATCTACCATATGGTATAGTGTCAGCTTTGTTCAGTAATGACGTCAGTAATAGTAGGGTATCTTCATCTACTTTTCTCGTCTTGGAATATACAAATCACTTTAGTTTACTTTAACTCATCGTTATCCGTTTCTTTACTGCTGGAAGATTAGTGAAGTGAAACAAGCAGTAAAGGAGACAATCAGACAAGTACTTTACTGTTCATCGAGTTAGTTCTTGGTTGAGTTATAAATGTGTTATTCTTTACAAAGTAAAGCTAAACATCTGAAGATAATTCAGAAGGATATTGCTTGAATAATTTATATCACCTATCAATCTCCAATCAGAGTGTAAAACAAAACATTCGATGCACAGCAACTTAACAATAACTACCTGTAATATCGTTAGGCAGCAGAATTTCGAAATAAAGTATGCCTTAAAGTTAGGTCGGAAAAGATATCCTGATTTTTTTTCTCGTCATCTGTTTGTTACAACATGTTTCGAAGTAATAGAAAGTAGAAAAAATAATATCTGGTCAATGGTTTTTCCCCCCGTGCATGTTCTTCATCGGTGAAAAAGAAATATTTTTTATTATAGTTAGTAGGCGCGTAATTAATTTCTTGCAAAGTATTTCTACTAAATTTTAACAGTTAAAAATATTCGATAACCAATATTTGGTTTCCATTAAATTCCCTATTACATTTTATCATTAAATATTCAATACTCAATGTTTGGTCTCCACTAAATTTCCTTGAAATTAACAGTATCGTAAGTGGGGTATTTTCATGTATCACCAGTTACTAAACTATTCTGGAAATATCTTGCGACCCAACAGAAAAATATGAACCAGTAACTAGCACTTAAGTTATATCACTGCCAGAGTGGGAGATGGATCATATATCCTAGAATAATATTCAGTAAAATTTGACATGTTGGAAGACAAAAATGGCAGCTCCGGATGTCAGTAGGATGTTAATATTATTCACCGCTATGATGACATCATTGTTGTTATTATTATTGTAAATACCGAGCATGAAGCTTGAGTGATCCTGTGTGGATACTATGAAAAATGTGTCGATACAACTAAAGATACCCACATTGCAGGATAATGGCGATAACAAACTTTACTGGAAGTGGAAAGAAGACTGAAAAATTTGCACAATTTCTATGTTCCGCCGGCGTGACAGAGGGAATACACGAACAATTGTTATAGTTTCAACAATCAACAACAATCTATCTATTACTGCATTTCTCGGCAATACTCTGATCCTAGATGCCCTTTGAAAGGAATCTTTCCTTCATCCGCCATCCAAACTCTTGTTTAGTAGTCTGGCAACAACTGACCTCTGTGTTGGTTTTATTTCAGGGCCTCGCTCTGTTACCTTTTTGATATTTAGCTTGTGTTTTTACCTATAGCTAAGTGTATTGTCCACGTTAAATAAAGTCTATCTATCTATCTATCTATCTATCTATCTATCTATCTATCTATCTATCTATCTATCTATCTATCTATCTATCTATCTATCTATCTATCTATCTATCTATCTATATCCCTAGTTCACGAATAATGTAATCTTTGTCGTTACGCATTTGACTGACATTTTATAGTCGGCTATATACTTTGTGTTCAGTCTATTTTTTGGGCAGTGACTGCAATAGGCGTTATAGTACATTTAATTTAAGTACTAAAGTAATAAAAAGTCTATCAACGATACGCGAATCCAGAACACGTGTTGTTTCTATCGACAAAATATTTTCTCGCTTCATAAAAATCATATAGCACCAGATTCAACCAAAATCAAACACTTCACCAACTTTTCATTTTCTGAGTCGTGACAATTATATTACTTATTAACATTATTAGTTTATTTTATGCAAGAAAAACTGATCGAAATTAATGGGCATAAATAGATAAGCGAACAACTGGGCTCCACAAGAAAGAATACACCTTACTAATACGCAATTCAGAAAGAAAATCCAATCCAGTCCTGTTTTCAAACTTATGCGAGAAGTTTAAATTTCATAATGCACGGTCGGCGTCCAATCCTACTAACGGGCTAATGATTTTCATTCATGAAAGTGAAACTATTGACGCCGAGGTTTCGAGTTCAAAAATAAGTAATATCCAATTTGTGTGACAAATATCTCGAGAAAGCGGGCGAATTTAAACTAGATGTGATGGAACACTTTTAAAATATCCGTTTTACGTTTATTAACATCCTATTAATCCGTTTTAATACAAGAATGAAAACCCGCAGAAAAGGAAATTGAGATCTGTTGTCCGTTTTCCAACTGTGTGTTTCATTCACCGTGGATCATACAAGTATCGGAAAACGGAAGTCGAAACCTGTTTTGTTACTTTCGAAAGTCTCGACACACGGAAAATGTAAATCGACTGAATCCGTTTTCAATTTTTCAGTTTCGTCGGTAAAGGGCTATCCCTTCAGTACACGTTTTGAAAACAAGTGTAATCAGATCCCTACATAGCAGAACAATGGCGATAACAAACATTACGACAGGAGGAAACGAGACTGAAACATTTGAACAACTGCGATGCCCGGCCGGTTTAACAGAGGGAATCCACGTACACTTGATATATCTTGCAGTGTTAAACATTATTCTATCCATTACTGCATTTCTTGGGAATACTCTGATCCTAGTTGCTCTTCACAAGGAATCTTCCCTTCATCCGCCGTCCAAACTCTTGCTTCGTTGTCTGGCATCAGCTGATCTCTGCGTTGGTCTTGTTTCCGAGCCTGTTGGTGTTATTCGTTTGATTTCTTTGGTTATCAAAGACTGGAATCTTTGTCGCTGTTCATTTTCGTTATACTTTATTACAGGTTATATTTTAGCTTCAGTAACTTTATTGACACTGGCTGCAATAAGCGTCGACAGACTTCTCGCCCTTTCGTTGGGATTGAAATACAGACAAGTTGTAACTTTGAAGCGAACATATGTGATTGTAGTGACTTTTTGGGTTGTATCGACTGTCGCTGCGACATCTTACCTCATAAATCACCGTATTCCATATCGGTATGCCAATATAGTTATATTATTATGTCTTGTAACCTCAATCATCTGCTACACAAAGATTTTCCTCACACTCCGCCATCATCAAACTCAACTACAAGACCAGGTTCATCAAGAACAACCGAGTCAAACAATTCCATTGAACATAGCACGATATAGAAAGGCAGTCTCCGGTGCATTGTGGTTGCAGTTGACATTAGTTGTTTGTTATCTACCGTATTGTATAATGTCAGCTGTGTTATATAACGCTAGACTATCTTCAGCCAATTTTCTCGCTTGGCAATTTACAGTTACTTTAGTTTACTTAAACTCGTCGTTAAACCCGTTTCTCTACTGCTGGAAGATTAGTGAAGTGAAACAAGCAGTGAAGGAGACAATCAGACAAGCACTTTGCTGCTTATCGAGTTAATTAATTATTGAGTTTAAAGGGCACTATCATGAGCATCGCTTCGAAAGTCAACATTCAAAAGATATATTTACATCAATGGAAAACTAAAAATAATGATCCAGTTTGGTTAAAATTACTATTATATCTCCTTTCGTAAATGAGCTAAATATATTATAAAATTAAGTATTATTAATGGAGGAGCAAGGGGTGGAGGTGGGTTGATTGCTTGAACGATCTGAAGTTTGACGCTTGCAGACTGAGAGGGCGAAGTGAAGTATACACCCCCTTTTTACCTTCTTCGAAGAACCCAAAAACGAGGCTATGTGATTTTACAGAACGTGAGCTCGTGACCATTGCACAACCTTGAGTCTATTGTCTACTTTTCGTGTATGCGCTAAGGTACTTAGTCATCGATAGTCACTGCTCATGATTATTTCACCGTTTTGACCAAAACAGCAGAAAAATCCCCGTGATAGTGCCCCTTTAAAAAGACGAAACTAAGTTACAGATTTTAATCCAAGGCAAAGGAATATCCTTAAACTTTATAAATATTTTATCTTTACTTTGTAAAGAATATAACACATGTATTCGCTGAAATGAGCACTTGACTTCTGATTTTTTCTAGTCTGGTTTTGTTTAGTTTTCTAAAACCCAGAGTTGGAGACGAATGCGTTATTTCTGGTTTTGTCGACTTCTGGCAACATTAATAACCTACTCACCAATCTGATGTCGAAGATGGACAGACTACTTCTGCTTATGTATAAACATCTGACAATATTAATAAAATAAATAATAAATAAACAACTTTATTTAAGTGTCAGAGGATTTAGCACTGCTGTACTAATTGTGGACACAGTAAATGAACAAACAAATATTGTGCCGAATATAACATAAACTTGTTAAGAATCCGAACTGGTGGGAGGCTGTCCAGTTGGCTATTTACAAGCGTGGCCGAGGAGTTGAACTCGGGACTACCGAGAGCGGACCTCCAGATTTCAAATCCAGCGCCCTAAACCACTCGGCCACCGACGCCGCCTCCCATATTAACAAGATCCAGATTCGGAGATGGCCACTTTCGGCCTATAATGTATAAACTTTTGGGGATATTAATATTTACATTTTAGTGAAAATCAAAAAATCGTGCTTAGAATTTGTAATTAATTTTTCTGGCATTAATTGCTGAAAGGCAATAGAGCTCGACCTAACCCGATATCACTGGAAATAATTAAGGTTCTCATTTAGTTATTTTCCAAAAGGTCAAAGATGGTACTGGCAGGATTCGCCTACTTAAACTTAAAAAAAAATTAAATCTTGAATCACCTCGAAAATAAGTTCAGCAGTTGCACCAGATTCAACCAAAATCAAACACTTCACCAACCTTTCATTTTCTGAGTCGTGACAATTGACAACCATAAGAAGATGAATCAAAATATTACTGTTTGTTTTAAGTATGAAAAACACATAAAAATTAAATGAGCATAATGCATAAATGAGTGAACAACCGAGCTCCCTTGAAAAGGATACATGCGTACTTACTGGCGTGATAAATCTCGAGAAAGTGGACGTATGTAAACAAGGTACCAGCGGAACAATCATTTTAATGGTAAAACTAATGTTAGATGTAGATGATGCAAGTGCCGGAAAACGGAAATCCAAGTCTGTGTTTTGTTTTAGAAAGTGAAAACACACAGAAGATGTAAATCGATCCCGGCTTTTCAATGTTTTCAATTTCGTTGGAAAATGGTTTTGTCCCTTGAGTACACGCTTTGAACTGTAAAAAAAACTACATATTCCACAATCGCAGCACAATGGTGATAACAAACTTTACGGGAGGTGGTAAACCAGACAGAAACATTCGTACAAATGGAATGCTCGCCCGGTTTTACAGAAGGAATGCACGTGCACTTGATATTTCTGTCACTGTTAAACATTCTTCTATCCGTTACTGCATTGCTTGGGAATACTTTGATCTTAGTTGCCCTTCGAAAGGAGTCTTCCCTTCATCCGCCATCCAAACTCTTGCTTCGTTGTTTGGCATCAACTGATCTCTTCATTGGTCTTATTGCAGAGCCTCTCGGTGTCACTCGTTTGATTTCTATGGTTAACGGAGACTGGAATTTTTGTCGCTCTTCATTTTCGTTATATTTCATTGTAGGTTATACTTTATCTTCAGTATCTTTGTTAACACTGGCTGCAATAAGCGTGGACAGACTTCTCGCCCTGTCGTTGGGTCTGAGTTACAGACAAGTTGTAACTTTGAAGCGAACATATATGATTGTAGTTACTTTGTGGGTTGTGTCCATTGTCGCTGCGACATCGTATCTTATAAATCACCTTATTACATATTGGTATGGCAATATTGTTATAGCATTATGTGTTGTAATGTCAATAATCTGCTACACAAAGATTTTCCTCACACTCCGCCATCATGAACAAACTCAACTACAAGACCATGTTCAACAAGAACAACCGAGCCAAACAATTCCACTGAACATAGCACGATACAGAAAGGCAGTGTCCAGTGCATTGTGGTTGCAGTTGACATTGGTAGTTTGTTATCTACCGTATTGTATAATAGCAACTTTGTTAAGCAACGCCAGACCATCTCCATCCAATTTTATCGCTTGGCAATTTACAGTTACTTTAGTTTACTTGAACTCGTCGTTAAACCCGTTTCTCTACTGCTGGAAGATTAGTGAAGTGAAGCCAGCAGTAAAGGAGACAATCAGACAAGTGCTTTTCTGTTCAACGAGTTAATTCATGGTTGAGTTATACATGTGTTATTCCTCACAATGTAATGCTAAAATATTTAAAAGATAGTTCAGGATGATATTTCTTTGCTTACAAAAACACAACAAAAAAATAGGCCCGCGAGGCGTGCCTCATGGCTACTGCATTTTTTTACTCAGAGAATGCGCATACATGTAGCCCATGAGCCGATTAAAACGAAATGGGTTAGGGACTCTCACGATTTCAATCAGTAAGTTATATTTTTCTCTACCCAGCAGTCATGAATCCACATCATCCCTTTATAACATGTATACTAGACATACTAGATATAAACATTTCCACGCCAATGGCTTTCGTTAACTCTCACCAGACCTCTCAATTGATAATATAGGTCAAGACTTCGTTCTCCGAGTTGTCGCCGTTGAGGATAGTGCAGCAACTTTGTTGGTTTTGTTATTTTTTTCTTGGTGTATTGCATTTGATAACCCTAGCCCTAAGGCAACATCTCTTGCTTTGGCTAACCACACTAAAATAATCAGGCCCGTAGGGCGAGGGATGCGACAGGTGCGTCCGTGGACCGATGGCTGTCAATAAAGTGAATGAAAAGCTCTAATTCGCTAACTGGTGTAGTCTGGAAATGAAGCCTGAATCAACGAAGATAACATCGAAGGTCCGCCATTTGTAGATTTGCTGGGTGGACATATTAAATTTTGGACCAGATCTTGAGATTCTATAAGCTGAATTTAAACGTTAACGATAAATTCGACCTAAAACCCTCATACGGAATTTTAATCCCCAGGATCTCAAAATGAGAGAAGACTGGGTACCCCAATAATGAACTGCAAAAGGGCTCAGCATGTGTGTCAATATTGGATAAAATGGACCGAACAGAGCCAGAGGTCACAGAAGAGCGAAATAGAAAGGCCGCAGCAAAATCCTGTCAATCGATAGATACATTTGTCCGTAAATTGTAAATTACATGTCACATAAAGTTTCTTGCAATTGTTTGTCATTAATCCATTTTGAATTTAAAGAAGCTTTACAACTGCTGCATCCTAGCTAACTGAACTGGGTAATTACAGTACACTGCACGATTCACGTTTAACGTAAACAAATTTATTAGGTCACTTTTTAGCAACACTTTGCTCTCGTAAACTAGCTCGCCGACTTCTCAGTTGCGGAACAACAAACTCTGTTCAGTTTATTTACCTTCATGTCATTTTGATCAGTACATCTAACAAGACTTGAAACCCAAGCTAATTTGAATACAATCACCCACTGTTTTCTTAAAACAACGGAAACTGTGCTCAAATGAGATGATCTTATCTTTCGTCTACAAACCAAGCAGATAAGTTCGTCTTTAATTTTAGAAGATATTTTCATATTAAAAATCATTCCTCGTTTCGAAAAATAATTTAACACACTTAACAATAGTAGATCTAAAATCCATTTTCTAATATCATTTTGTCACGATGTCCAACGTCAGACTCCCGAAAGCGCGGTGAATTAATTTTCTGCAATCCAGCACGCGGCTTTGATCTTTGTCACAACAGCATTCGCAGCATTCATGCTGACATAACAAAATTCTCAAATCACTCATCACTCATACTCTTCTGATTGTCGTCATACTGTAATATCTTTGTTTACACAGCAGCATTTCGCGCTGACATAACTGAATCTAAAAATAAATTGCATATCAGCCTTTCAACAACTGAAGCTCTGAAAGATTTTCAAAGAGTTGTAAATTCACGCTAGCATAACAAAATTATTTGGTCCTCAGCAATACTTTCTTCTCTGACTTCACCCCTCGCGCGCGCGTGTGACTAAATGAGTAGATAATAAATAAATAAAATAAATAGTTTCAAACTGAAGGCGTTTCAAACAGAAGAAACGCGTTTTCATTGCGTTTGAAACACAAAAATAATTAATTAAGATGTGCATAATTATTTCCATTACAGAGGTTAACGGCCATACGCCGGCCAAATTTATAACAGAGCCGGACAACTAGGGTCTTTTTTGTAGGGAAGCTCGCGCACGAACTATTAGACGAATGAATAGAAAAAGTTTTGCAGAACCGGTTCAAGCGTGATGGAAAACAAGTCCTATTAATAAATGCCTAAAAGCGGGAACTTTATAGCTTTAGCTCAAAAATAGTATCCGATATACGGATAGCTTCGAAGGGGCAGCTCATAATCATGGATTAAACGTAAACAAAATATTAAGAATCGTTGACGTGTAAAGTTTCTAAAATTATAAAGTTCATTCGTAAATCTTGTATGCATCATCGACGCTCTCTCCTCCGCAGAGGCTCAATGGGGATTTAGGAGAAATCCGCTGAACGTGGTGTGTGCAGGCGCAAGTAACTGGCGGATCAACGAAGCGGCGAGCCTCTGCCAGATTTGTGTCGTTTCTTGTACATCTTTGTCGTTTTCTTGTACATTGGACGATTTCTCAGCCCTCGCTAAATTTGACAGCTTGAAACTTGGCAAAAATCAGCGCTAGGTATGTTGCTACAGTTAGCGATCGTTATTTTTAAGACGAGGTTTCATATTTACTAAAAAAAGCCAAAATGTTGGTCTCCGAATTGATCGCGAAGACCCTCCTGAAACCCGTGGGGGTGGTCTTGCAAGTGTGTTATTCTTTGGAAACAATGGCGGAAGAGCTTGACTTTTCGCTCCAAGAGATGTCTCTTGACGGTAAATGTTCTTCTTGTATTTCGTGTTTTTGGTCTTAAATTCCTGCTGCTTGCATTTCGTTTAATTTAGCGTTTAGTTTAACTTAATAAGCTTACAGCTTTTGGTTTGAATCGCAAGTTTTGCACTCGACGTTTAAACACGTAGAGATTAATAAAACACATTTCATAGCCGGAAAACTAAGCTTACTTCTTCTCTTTTCTTTGGGACAGAATTAATAGGTTGTTGAGAGTTTCAGTCGCCGGGGAATCCTTTGCTTCCTGAATTTCTTGATCGCCACATGGCGTGTCTCGAGAATGTTGAATTCTGTAGATCAACCCATCAGAACACAACAAAACATATTCAGATTTCCCATGCATCTAAAGTTTTAGTTCTCTACTTGTACATCGCGTATAAACTTCCGAACAGATTCTGATGCAGCCGCCATTTTACTGACATACGGCAGTTATACATACACCACCGTACCCCCGGTGAGGAACACTGATAAAAAGTTGCCTCCCCCGGATGGCGGCCATATTGGGTGTGGTATCTGGCAGAGGCTCCCGCCGTCGCTCTCTCCGGGTTTCTCGCGCCTGCACTCACTTCGTTCAGCTGATTCTCCCATGAGCCT